CCTGTCCCACCAGGCTGAGTCAAACCTGTGACTCACAGGAGAGGGGGAATGGCTTTGGCATCAGCCTGGGATTTTTTCTTTCCCTCCTCCAGTCTAAGATGTTGATGATAAAACCTCCAGTTTAAGACAAACTTGCTTGCAGTGCGTGTTCCCAGCTTTTTCTGATTAAAAAAAAAAAAAAGTTCTGTTTGTAATCAAACCCCGCTGCAGTGTTTGAAAAGCACCTGAGGTTTTGGGGCTGGGGGCTCCTGCAGATGTTGGGGCTGGCCAGGTGTGAGCCAAGCCCCRAATGGAAACAAGGGAGCTGTGTGAGCTCAGCCCCGTTCCCTGGGCAGAAATCCCTGATTTTATTAAACCTGGAGCTGTGCTGAGGCGGGATCAGGTGGGAGCTGCTGGGAACSCGGCCAGCTTGGCCAGAGAGGGGACCTCTGTGCAAGATTCAGGTCCATGAGTTATTTGGGGAAATTTATGATCTAATTCTGACACACAGCCTCCCTCCTCTCCCTCAGCCTTCCTCCTTCCAGATCATGGAATTGTTTAGTTTGGAAAACACACCTGAGATCGAGTCCAGCTGCTACCCCAGCGCTGCCAAGAGCTCAGCCATAAACCACATCCCCAAATCCTTACCCTCCTTTGTAGGACAAGCTGCTCCTTCTAGAATTCCCTGAAATAGTTCCTGGAGATGCACGTGGAGTTATCCTGGACTCCTTCCTGCTTCCCTTTYGTGTGCAGCAAGGATGTGCTTCCAGGCCTTCATCCCTAGGGATGGGAAAACCTTACGGCATTTCTGGTGAACTTTTGGTGACAGATCAATCCATGTGGGATTTAAAATCCCTGAATAGCCAAAATAGGCAGCCCTGCACTTTTRCCATCAGTCCCAGCCTGGCTTGGGGCTGTGGCACGTCAAGGACTCCCAGGAATTCGGGCACCTGTTCTCTCTCATGGACAGGGGTTATTCTGATTATTTTTTTCCCTCTTTGCCTYGTGACTGATCCCCACAATCTGTCCTGCTTTGTCTAACAGGAACACAGAGATAACTCAGCTGCTGGCTCATGATAACTAAAGATGGTTTCAGCAGCATTTTTCATTTCTTTTCCAAGGGCAGGGCAGTCTTTTATCAGAAAAAGCTCTGCTGTTGTGAGAGCTGGAGTGYAAACCCAAACAGGGTCAGATATTGAAATAAAAATGGGACAAAGAGGCAGGTAAAATAATGAGAGAATCACCCTTTAATTCTGATTAAATCATGGCTCTCTAAGGCTGAGGTGGGTTAGATAATAGATGGAAAAAAAACAAACAAAAAAAAACCAGGAATCTGAACTGCCAGAAAGCCATTTTTATGCCTAAAACTGACAAATTCCCCCAGTATTCCCCTTTCCCTTGGATTGGGATGGTTCCATCACCCATGTCATCTCTCAAAGGCGAGAATGGGGTTGGAAAAAATGCCAAATTATTCTCCTGAGCAACCCTGAGGGAAGAAGCTTTTCCAATGATATCATTTGCAGTGCAGAATCTGGAGGTGAGAGCAATATCAGTGGGATCCTCTGGTCCCCCTGTCCGTGGCCTCCAGCTGTCCCTCTGCCAGGGGGACACAGCAAACCTGAGCCAGAAGGAGAAAATTCCTCCTCCAGGTATTCCAGGATGTGATTGTTGGCCTTGGGAYTGAAATTTATCCTTTAATAAAGCTGAGCCTTTTTCCTGCCCAAACCTGGAAGAGAAGCAAGGTATCAGACTCCTTCCTGGGCTTGCCAGGGTAGTCCCAGACCTGGCTTAATCCTGGTTTTAAGAGGACTTTTTGCCCCTGGGCAGGAAATTTGGGTTCTGGTGGCTCTGCAGTTGTGTGAGCAAATCTCAGCTCTGCTGTGACCTCGAGYTCTGAGTGGTGCTGGTCGTGTTATAAATAACAAAATATTCCCTGGAGCAGCACAATCAACACCTGGCACTGCAGGATCCTGGCCTGGGCTTACCCCAGCCCTGATTTTGGGGGGTTTTCTTTACTTTAGTGAGTGTGTAATGGGCAATGACCCAGAATTTATAACGTTACCAATGCCAGGATGCCACTGTTCAAACAGGAGCATTTTATTCTTTGTGTGWCCCATGTAAAATTTGTGAATTATTTCCCCAGACCCTTCACCTATGCAGCAGGAGATCTGAGACACTGCTTTCACAGGAATTCCTCATCTCCCTAATGCATTAATATTAATTTAGGACATAAAATTCCTGAATCCCCAGCCTCCCCTGGGGATCAGCTGCTAATTCAGGGTCATCCACGAGGTTCTCAGACCCCTTGAGTAAGATTTCAGCCCTCACTGGTGTTGAGAGAGCTTTTATTCCAGGGGTAACACACATCAGGCTGGTTTGGGAAGCAGCACAGCCCTTTCAGTGGTGTAAAGATATTTTTAAGGTTGATTTTATTCCATTAATAATGTGTCATCCCGTGCAGAAAAAGATGGGAACTCGGGGAAATATAAATTAAAATAGGTTCAGTGCAGCTGCTTGGGTTTTATCTGTGTGTTGTGGTCTGGGAAGTGATCTAGGGAGTGAGTTCCAAGAAAATATTCCATGACTGCAGAGGTGGTTGGGGTTAATGATGGGAGAAATGGGGGGATTTGTGTGAACCAAGAAAAAAGGAATGACCAGTTTCCATGCTGAGGGTTTCCAGGAAAATCTCCATGTGTGCTGGATGTACTCAGGATTTGAGAGGGCTACAGAGAAAGAGAAATTTAAATATTATTCCAGCTAATACAGTGTATTTATGTAAGCCAGGGTAAATGAGCACACTCACACGTTCTGTTTTTCCGGAAAAAACTTTCCTTTTTCATTATCCACACACTTCCACAGAGCTACAGAAAAGAGCAAACAGTGCAAAACAGGGGCGTTGGTCTCTTCTATACAATATTTACATTGCTCAAATCCCTCAGGCAGCGAAAAGCCAGCCCAGGGTTTTCTTAGGAACTGGATGGTTTTCTTGGAAAACATATGCCAAGTGATCCTAAAAAGAAACCACCCCGCTCCTTGCTTGTCCCAGTGGTTTAGGGGTGGGAGTGTCCTGGTGTTCAGCATGGAAGTTMAATTTAAGAATTAAAATTAAGAGCAGCCAGCGGTGTTAAATGTTAGTTTTAAATGATGATTTCCAGAGGAAAAAAAGAAAAAAGAAAAAAAAAAACCAGGAAAAGCTTCATGTTTTGCTGCAAAATGTGCTCATTTTATAGGGGTTAAAATCACTGTCTTAAATCATGGAATGGTGGAATTGACCTTAAAGGGACAGGGACACCTTCCACCATCCCAGGTTGCTCTAAGCCCTGTCCAGCCTGGCCTTGGACACTCCCAGAGCTTTCACATTGGGCAGAACGAACCTTTAATCATACCCAGGTCCTGACAGAACAAACAGGAAAGGGAGAATATTCCCATGGTTGGAATCTGTGCCCAGAGAAAAGGATCTTTGACCACTCAAAGATGTTTTGGGTAGATCTTTTTCACTTTCTGAGTTCTTTGAGTGCTTTGAGTGAACCTTCCAAAAACTTAATTTTCTCTGAGTGACCTCTCCATGGCACAGGATTTCAGGGAGATACAGGGAATGTACAAATGTCATCAGCAGGAGGAGAGGGAACRGCCTYAAATTTAAACTGAGGRGGTTTAGATTGGGTATTAGGAAAAAGGTTTTTTACAGAAAGGGCTGTCAAACTTTGAAGCAGGGCAGTGGTGGAGTGCCCATCCCTGGAAGGGTTCAGAAAATGTGTGGATGKGGYATTTGGGGACACAGGTTTGTGGTGAACATAGTGGGGCTGGGATGGGGGGTCTCGGAGGCCTTTCCAACCCCAATTCCAGGATTGTAGGGGTGATTTATGGTCCTTGGAGTGTCAGAGAGAGAGTGCACAGCTCAGAGCCAGCCTGGGCTCCGGGGTCAGCCTGGGGTCAGCATTCAGAAATGAAAATTGCAGCTTTCCTGGAATTACAGGGGAAACAAGGCTTGGGCTGCTAATCCCCCAAGAACAGGTCTGCCTCTTTCCTCAGTTAATGCTGAGCACCAAAACCTGCTTAGGGAAGTGAGGGTGGCTTTGTTCCTGTCCCTAAATCCTGCCCCAGAGCTCTTTGGGCACAGCAAAGCTCYGGGTGCTGAGGGTTCCCTGTGGCTCACAGGTCACACCAAAGGACAATTCCACAGGAGCCACCACTGTCCCTGAGGGGACAATTCCCTGGGAATGGCATGGGATGTCACTGGGGAGCTCTGCAGGGACTCTGGCTTCTGRGAATGTCCTCAGAGGAGCTGTGTTCCCCTGTCACCAGCCCTCTGCCACAGGGAAATAAATAAATTCTTTCTGGGCCATCTATTTCTGCTGGGTAGGGAGCAGAGCCTCCCTCCCTCCTCCACACAGAATTTCTGCCAGAAAACTTCCCAGGGGTTGTTTTAGAGGGATTTCAAGGCTGGATCCACGCAGGGAGCAGGGACAGGAGGAGCAGAGCCTGCCTGGTGTGTGTGTGCAGCACAGGAACTTCCATCCCTCWGGCTCATCCAAGAGACCATCTACGAATTCTAGATGTGACTTGTGCCACCTCTGTGCCCTTGTAGATGTGACTCAAGGTAGTTTGCGCTGATTGTGCAAAGCTGRTGGAGATTTACCCAAGATTTACTCAAGATTTACACGGGACTTGGCACCTTTCACCCCTCAGAGATCCCATGGTGATGTGCGCTCTATGTCATGACAATTCCCCCTCAGATTGGCACAGAGTTTCACCAGGTGGGTGAAATTTTCACCAGGCTGGGTTTGGATGGGGCTGAGGGTTCAGGAGCCTTTTGGAGCTGCAGCTTTTCCAGCTGGGAACGGGCAGCAAAGCTGGTGAATGGATGTTGTGGGAGGACTGGGGAACGGGAGCAGGGAGCTGGCTGGGAGTGAGGAAATCCATGATTCATTTTTGTTTAGGATCTCTGGGTCCTGTCTCAGCCTCASCTAAAGGCAGTGAYTTCWAATTAATTTRATTTTGTTTTCAAACCYGARGTTGTGGCGCTGCCTTTGCTGATAGCAGCCCTTTGTCAGGAGGGAGGAACACTCAGCCACCCCTCAGCCAGAAAAACTGGAAATCCACATTTCTGCCACCTTCTCCTCCCAGCCTGGCTTTGCTGACACCTGAAAAATGACTTTTCCTCTCTCTGAATGCATAATTGGTTATTTATCCACAAACCACGGCATGTGGACTCAGTGTACCTGACCCAGAAAAAACCAGATCGGTCGAGACCTGTCCCAGCAGATGTGAGTGTCACTCACCACGTGATCTCCATATAATTTATGAGGTCTTAAATTACAAAATAATGGATCTTTTCAGTTGGGCCTTTTGGCAYGGGATGACAGGATTACGTTTTATGTGCGAATATCCACCGCAGCTCTCGCCCCGTAAAACTGCAAACAGAAATTTGTCAGCGTTGGCACTGCTTTGGCTCCCAAAAAGACACCCTTTATGCTGGGATTACAGGCAGGCCATGGATGTGGAGCCTGGAGCTGGTCCAGGCCCAGGCAGTTCTTTCCCTATTTTCTTTTAACATTTCCTTCAGAAGCCCAGACAGCGGTTTCTAGCCTGGATTTTTCCTCCTTCCCTGGGATTTAACCAGAGGAAGGTCTGTGGAGCACACCCAGAGCAGAAGGTGTCCCAGCACTCTGGAAATGAGAGATTCTGCAGCCACCACASATGGGAACAGCCCAGTCCCACAAAGCTCCCAAACCCCACAAACTCTGGAATTTCTTTTTGCTTGCAAGTGGAAAGCAGCAGCTTTAAAAGAAGATTTCCAAGCTGGCAGTTGCCCACTGAGAACAAGCTGAGTGCAAACAGGCTTCTCACTTCTTAGTAAATCTGAATTAATCAGGGGTTTGCCTCACAGAAGAGCATTTTCTCATTTTACTGACATTTTTCTTGCAGAAGGATGTGTTTTTAGGCACAGGGTGGGATTCTTGGRGCTGTCCTGTGCAGGGCCAGGAGCTGCTCCTTCCRTGATCCTTGTGGGTCACTTCCAACTCRGGATATTCTGTGGYTCTAAACACACTCTCAGTTTTTTAGTGGATCCTTCTCACCTCATTCCTTCTCTCTCCCCACCCCTAAAAATGAGGTTTCTCAGTGAATTCTTCCTGCTCTTATTCCTTCCCTCTCTCATCTCTAAAAATGCAGTTTSTGTCCCATTCAGTACAATATTAACAGCCAGATCCTGACAGGGTGTTGGGATAGGGATTCCCTGTTTCCCACTCAATTTGGGATGTGCCAAAGCTGTTGATGGCTCCCCAGCCCTCCTCTTTGCCATAGGGTGAAGGATTTGCTCCAGAGGGAGAACTGTGCCTGTAGGGAAGCCTGGCAAATCYCTCACTTTGCCTTTTGATCTGAAGTTATGGGAACAACTGCTCTGAAACACGGATTTTAAAAATCCCTCTGAAGAGTTTGGAAAGGGGCATGGGCAGGAAAAAGGATGAGGCACTGCCTGGCAATGTCGAATATTGTTCTATCCTATTGTTCATCCCTTGAGCTTGGGGTAAACCTTTCCCAGCTGCTGTCACTGCCTGTCACTTGTGCTGCCACCTCAACCCCATCCCACCAATTTTTTCCAGTGATCTCCCCTTGTTTTCACATTTTTCTGCCCCACAGTGCTGTTGTCTCAGAGTTTTGTCTCCAGAAAAGCGTCCCAGGCCAGTCCTGTGTGCAAGTTTCCAGTAAATATTGCTGTAACTCAGAGCTCAAACAGAATATTTTGGCTGCTCTCAAGGTCTCTGTGTATACTGAGTTGATCATCTGCTTTTCTCCAATAAGTGACATTTTAGGGCTGAAATAGAAAAATTTCTGGGGTCTCCCAGCCTTGGTAAGCCACTGACTTCTTTATTCAAAGTGAATGCAGTGCTAAATAAATATTCCCTTGGAAGCATTAACATTTTACAGCTGAATTCTTCTCACACTTAAACCTCTTTTGCTTTAAAYGATCACATTTGAGGTGCTGCTCTCGTATCTCATGAGGCTTCATCAGAGAGATTTAAAAGAGACTTGAGTGGAAAACATCTGTTCAATTAATAATCTGTCTTTTTTTTTTTTTTTGGCAGTGTAGTCCTAGAAGTAGCTTTACCGTAGAAATGTAGATTGCTGAGCTAACAACTTGTAACTTTATCCTTTTTCAAATTAAATTGTTCTCCTCATTTCTGTGTCTTTCACTTAAGACCCAGCCTGGGAAGGGCTGCAGAGCTTCAAACATGAGCCAAGCACTAGAGAAAGGAACCAGGTGGTAAAATGCAACACATAACCAATAATTAATTTTCCATATATTTCTATAATCCATAAAAGGAAAGGCAATAAATTAATTGGAAAACAAGACAATATTGCTGTAACCAGCTAAGAAAAGAGTGCAGCAAATTGGTTTTCGAGTTATTTTGAGGCTCTAAAAACCATTAAGCAGTCACAGATCATCCCTTAATTGGGGGCTCTGACACCACTTGTCCATATTTCAGTGGGATCAGCACTCCTGGGCCTTCAGCTTTGCCCTTGGAAGAACTCTGGGGTTTCAGGCCCTTCTCCAGCTGACTTTACAACCCAGCCCTTCCCAGAAATAGTCACACAATCCCCCRGGATATAAAAGCCCAGGTGCAACAGATCATCGATGAGCTCTCCTCCCCAGACGTGGCATTAAAAATGATCAAATAAATTAAACGACAGCTCAATCTGATAAAAAGGAAACTTCATACTTCAAAATTGTAGTATTAATTATCTCTTTTTCTTATTATCTTTTCTGTCACCAAGCAACTCTTTTGCCTAACTGCTAAACAATTATTTACACTCCAAACCTCTCCAGAAATTCCAGTCTCTAGGAAAACCAGGCTCTACACTCTGGCAGCGGAGTAAGGAAAAGCCACAAGCTTTTATTATGCCTTTGTAAGCAAACATACATATTGTGGGAAGTTACTGAGTTAACATAYGAGGATGAGGATGCATCTCCAGAAGGCAGGAAATATTGGCAGGAATCTCTAAGAAAACGGAATTTTCTGTTTCCCAACTGGTCCCATGCCAACTGCTGAAGGGGGGAGAAATGCCAAATGTTGGCATTTTCTGCTTAAAGAAGCTGTTCTGYTCCCTCCTCAGTTGATGCATGTGTTGTTGCCTATCCATAATCTCCAAAGGGAGATCCATTGGGATTTTTCCATTTYGTGTTCACCTGTGGAATGTGATGGGACCATCCCAGCGTGAGGATCAGTCGCCCCTCAGCAGCTTTTCATTAACCCCTCGTGTGTGAACCCCCCGTTTTCTGGAAGGGCTCTTTGCCACGTGGCCTTAGTCAGGAGTTAATGGGGGATAACTCCCTGTGTAAACATCTCCCTAGAAATGGGATTCAGAGGTGGGATCACCCCCGTTGGTGATGGCCTGGTCACTGATCTCATCCTGCGGCGCCGGCAGCGCCGTCTTTGTGAGCGGCATCTCCGTCTTGAAGAGAGAATCCATTTTGATCTGGGTTTTGATGTTGAAGGACTTCTGGAAGGACTCRGAGGTGAAGTAGTAGATGAAGGGGTCGAAGCAGCAGTTGAGGGTGGCGATGCACAACGTGATGGGGTACATGGTCCTGGCAAACCTCTCCAGGGCGCAGTTGGCGATGGCCTGSGAGCGCACGAGCGCGTACAGGAACAGGATGGAGTTGTAGGGGACAAAGCACACCACGAAAATGGCCACATGCACGATGATCATCTTCAGCACTTTCTCCTTGTTCGTCCCGATCTGGGACAGGGTGGCYGGCTTCCGTAAAGTCCGGAGCACCAGCGAGGAGCACGTGAGGTTGAGCAGCAGCGGGATGATGAACCCCACCACCTCGATAAAGATGGTGATCTTGGACAGGTASGTTTTCCAGATCCTTTTGGAGAACCCTTCGAAACAGGTGGTGCTGGTGTTGGAAACGTTGGTGGTGGAGAACAGCGAGGCCGAAATGCCGCCGCTGAGCACCAGGATCCAAACGCCGGCACAGACAATGGCCGAGTTCCTCCGGGTGCGGATGGTGCGCGAGCGAAAGGGGTACACGATGGCCAGGAAGCGATCCACGCTGATGCAYGTCAGGAACAACATGCTCCCGTAGATATTGGTGAGGAACGCCGTGCCYGAGATCTTGCACAGGCTGTCCCCGAAGGGCCAGTGCCGGTTGAAGTTGTAAAAAATCTTAAAGGGCAAAGTGAACACGAAAAGCAAGTCTGAAACCGCCAGGTTGGTCATAAAAATGGCCGTCTCGCTCCTCATCTTCATCCGGAAGAGGAAAACGAAGAGGGAGGCGCAGTTTGTGATCAAGCCCAGGATGAAGACCACGCTGTAGACGGCCCCGTACAGGTTGTACTTGAAGGAATCGTCTGTCAGGCAGGTATGGTTGTTGCTGTGGTTTCCCATGCCAAGTGTGGGATGGGCTTCCCGAGGCCTCCGAAGTCTATTTCAGGGACATCCATAAAACAGGGCAGGGAGCTCGTCCCTTCCCGAGGGAACGCATTCCAGGGAGGCGGCCGGACTCCTTCCTACCGATCCCTCATGGATCCTTTCATCCTAAAGGAGAGACACAGAGCTGCCGTCAGTCCTGACCCTGCTGTACCCCAGAGTGGCCGGGAAAGAGAAATTCCCAAACTTATGGATGTACAAACAAGAGCAGGGATTTGTTTTCAAGGGAGTCTTTAAAAATTCCACCATTATTGGGATTTGTCGCAGCTGAAGACAGAATTTACTGAATTTACTTTCCTTGGATGRATCCTGAGGGATTGCTGTGGTCTATGAAAGGTGACCCTGCCCATGGCAGGRGTCAGAACAAGATGGGCTTTAAGGTCCTTTCCAACCAAAATCATTCTATGATAATTCCAACTCACCCCTTGGAAATTCCTCCCCCTGAGGAGGAATTGGCCCAGTGTATTTGGAAAAAAAATTAATAGAATGAAACATCTGAAATATTCCCCTAAACCTGTAACGGAGGAGGAAAGCTGGAAGTTTTTTAGTGTTTGCTTTAAACTGTGCAGAAAGAAAAGCTATATGGATTTTCAACCATTTTTGATGTGCAAGTATTTAAAAAAAACTCCAAAATCTATGATAACAGAGACCTGCTTTGCCTTTTTTTTTTAACTGACAATAGAGGCATCTTTACATGTTTTCCCAAGTGGAAAACTGTTGTAGCTCAGAAATGTTTATCAAAAACATATCCCAAAGCCATGTTTGCTTTTTATTCCCCCTTAAAAATGTCTGTAAATATGGTATTACTTCCAAAATKATGTTTTCTGCAAGTATAAAACCTTCTCAAGAAAGATTCCTCTGAGCTCTACCAACAGCTGCTTTTCATTCCTCCTCTTTGTCGAGGTTTGGAATGTGAAATTTGGGAAATCTCATGGACTACGCTCTTACAAGACTTTGTCCCAACTCTTCAAGCTTTGGAGACACGTGGACCTGAAGTGAACAGGTTTTTTTTTCTTGGAAATAGGTGCTTCCTGAACTGCCTGGATCATCTCTCCTGGCTATTTTAATTTTTTTTAATGCCTGTGAGGATAATCTGTTGGAAAATCTCGCTGGAGGAGGGTTTGTGTGTTGGATYGTGGGCTCAGCACTTCTCGGAAATGTGGAGCAAAGTGGGGTCAYGAAGGGAAAGACCTTTTCCTTACAAACTCCAGCCAACCAAACATGAACCAGTCTGGAATCTCCTTGTAATCTAAGAAATTTAGGAGCTACAACTGGGAGTAATTTGGAGCAGAAACCCTCGTGAAGAGTGGGATCCTTTCCAGAGCGATCCCCTGACGGAGGAGTTTCAGCTCCAAAGCTGTCGCTGAGTTGTGTTAAGGGTTGTAATGGTAACATATAAACAAATAAAATAGAGAAGAAAGCATGGATTCGGCATAATTTGGGATGCAAATGATTAAAATCAGATGTTTTCCATATGTTTTCCTCCCAGGAAAGCTCACACTGGCCATTGCTCTCACATGCAAGCTGTCACTCAACTGGTAAAATGGCAAGTGTTGGGAAAGCTGGAACAGCCACAGCTTTGCCAGCTGGAAGGGGCAAATTCCTCACCTGGGAATGCCTGGAGAACCACAGACTTCCCAAAAAACAGTGCTGAGACCCTGGGAGCAGGCAGCACATCACCTCTGCACCTGGCAAAGCAGCAGGAAAGGAGGATGCTCAAATCTCCCTTCCCAGATGACTTTCAAACTATTTCAACCTTTGCACATCCAAAAAGATGAGTTGGAACTCAGAGGTCTCTCCTGTGGATGTGTTTTTCCTACTGAATTTGTGGTTAAATGAACTTTATTGGGAAATAAGATTAAAAAAATTATATCAAATATTTAAATTAATGAGGACAAGAGTAAAATCCCAAATGTGGAACTGAACGCACTCTCTTTGGATCTGTAGTGGTGAAAATAAGGAAAGATCTTGCCTGAAAGTTCAAATGCCTTTAAAGAAGAGCTGAGCTGGAGTGGAAAGCTGACATGAGCTCCAACAGGAATAGCTGAGCCTTGGCTTAACCCTCAGCCCAGAGCATTAAATCCTTGGCCTGGAGCTCCCTCCCAGTGCAGACACTCCCCGTTATCCCTACCAGGAGAGTTGGTGTTCATCCTGTGACTCCCTGAGCGTGTGTGACCCGAGCTGTGCCAGACCCTCCTGGTCCAGGCTTCACTCTGGATCCTACTGAGGACATCCCAAAGGTCCTCTGAACCCTCACACAGCCCAKCAGCCCSATGGAAACCCCACTTTCCAGCCTGRCSTGGATTTYGGCAGTTCCTCAGGACCCAGAKGTTTGAAAKGTGCCTTTGGAACTCTCACCTCTGCTCCTGACCCAGTGCTCTGCCAGCAGCCTGACCCAGATACTCCTCACACAGGAAAAAAAGATGCTCCATCACCTGATTCTTTTCTCCCAGCTCTGTTCCAGACAGCCCCAAGGTCAAATCCCATTTTTTTTCCAGTGTCTAATCTCTGGGAATTGCCTGCCAGCAATTGTCTAGTTAACTTATGGGCTTTAAAATACAGCCTGGCTTGTTTACCTATGGAACCCTGAGGTGTTTAAACAAGCTGACAAGTGGCTTTGAAACCCAGCCATGTGCTTTAAATTCTGTAGGATGAGTCCACAGATTGAGTTTTCCMAGTGTAAAATTCCCTTCCCTTCCTTTCCACTATGGATTAAAGCAGTGGGATGCTCTTCATGGACACCACTGCTGTTGCCTTGCTGGGAAAAAAGTAAAGCAATATATTTTAAAATGTTGAATAAATACAGGATGGTGAAGTAGTTTTCTTTATATTTCAGGCAGGGCAAAGCTTTAAATCCTATATTGAAGCTGGGGGCCAATCCAGGAGGAGAGGAATGTAATAGAATAAAGCCCCTGTTCGTTATGATAAAATTCAGAATATTCTCTCTCCTAGCAGAGATGGCACCAGCAAACCTCCAGCAACCATCCCTCTCATAACCCTGTTGTTCAGAGTGAGTTTCAGCAGAGGATTTAYTCTTTTATTGCAGAAATATCCCATCCTCCATGGACTGAAAAGAAAGGAAAACCTGGTGTTACTTCCTATGGTGCCTGAGTATCCTGTTTACAATTCCTGTATTTCCTCCTCCCGGCACCCTGAGACACCTCCAAAGTGCCAGACTGCAGCTCCATCCACAGCAATTGTTTGTTAGAGCAGGAATTACCGCAGGGAAAAACAACAAATTTCAAMCCAGAGCCTGTCATTCCATCACCCCATTCCTCCCGCTCCACGCTGATCCCGATCTCCACATGTGCAGCAAACTGAGGTCAGGAAAACCAGCRTGAAGCTTGGGGCTGGCATTTTTTGCATCATCACATTTTCTTTTAGTCACATGAGATGTCAGATGAGTTGAACTTTATCAGTCTGGATCTGAAGGAGATCCTGTGTGTTCCTTTAAACCACTGAGCACTGGATTTGTGAGGTCTGGCACAGCCCTGATGGGAAAACCTCCCAAAGCTGAGGGATCTTTGCTGKATTATCCCAGTGTGTGCTCAGGTTATCTCTTAAATCCTGAGAAACAAAGGTTTATATGTGAAAAAAAAGCCAAAACCTGCAGGACAGTGGGGTTTGGGGAGGTTTCTCTGGGTTTTGTCTCAGGTTATGGCACCACTCATCGTGTTTTCATAGGGTCTCAGCCCCTGACCTTGGAAATAAATTGGGATTTTCCTGGGGCACAGCACGAGCTTTATTTCTGCCTTCTCCTGACAAGAACTCCATTCACTCCAGGGTTTCAGCTCCCTGCTCCTCACCTCGTTGCTACAACGCCTGTGGGATGTGTAACTTACTCCATGTGTAACTTACTCCCACCATGGAGCCCAGGGTTACAGCATCACAACAAWCTCAGTTCTGCAGCTTCTTAGGGGTCATTTCCTTCCTTTGTTCCACTTTAATTAGGCAGAAGGCTCAAAAAAAGGGTTTTGTAGGGGGAGATGTTTGGGTTTTTTGGCAGATTTTTGCAGGGATGCATAAGGCTGTAGGACTTGGGTTCTTCCAGACTGGTGCCCATAGGTAAAATGAAATTAAACTGCTTGTTTGAATGGATAAAATTAAAACTACTAGAAAGAAAAGAAACCTTTTTTATCCAAAAATTCCAACATTTCTCAGCTCTTGCAATGGAATTTCCACTTACTTCTGCTTTCTTTTCTCAATAAAATTCAGTTTTGGTCGTGAGAACTCTGAGAGCGTGAACTGGAAGCAGTTTTAAGGGCAAACCTCCAGTTTGGGGCAATCTGGAGGCTGATTTTTCCCTGCTGGAGGCTGCCAGGGCAGGAGCTGGTGCTGCACAGCGATGCCACCTCAGCTCTCCCAACACCAGCAGCGTGGGTTTATGGAAAACTGGAGCAGGTGATGCTGGATCTGCCTTCTCCAGAGAAAGCTGTAGGRATGGGAAATATCTTGAGACCCAAATTTTGGGGTTGGGAGCTCCAACAGAGCTCCTTGCAGATTCCCAGTGACCTTGGCGTGTTTTTCTGGAAAGGCTGGGATTAGCGGGTGGGAAGCGGAGCAGCTGCCCCTACACAAAGCTCTATTGASGATCCGAAGCGCTGGGAAGGAGAAAACGCTTTAATCTCTTTCATTTCCTAATCCTAAGTGATGTATCGGAGAACAGTAGGAAAGGAGCAGACAGAAGTGGCACTTTGAAGTCCACGGAGGTTTGTGGGGGCTTCAAAGGGCCATTCTTGCCTGGTTTATCGGAGTGAATGCCCGGTCGGAATGCCGGAGAAAGGGGATGTTTGCGGGTGATTTGCATAAAAGACAGGTCAGGAAAGCTCTTATTCATGGCTTTGACACTTATTGTGCCCCGTGACACTTATTGTCACCGGYCCCGACGGTCCCAGCCCTCGCTGCGGGTGCGACAGCGTCTGCCTGCGCACCTGTGGCAAGGTGGGACTCGCTCCAGGCAGGTTTCAGCAGCTGCTTTCAAATCCTCTGAGAGAAAAACCTCCCTTGAGGAGGCATCACCCCTGTCTGAGGCAGGAGGGAGCTCTGGGATGAGCTGGGAGCCAGCGCCGCTCCTTTACCCCGCTCTGAGCTGGTTTTGGGGACCCTCGCACCCCTCCAGGCTCAGCTGCTCCTCTCTGCAGCAGGACCCCAATTTAATCCTCCTCCAGGATGGAGCAGGGAAGGAAACCTGAGCCTCTCAGCCCGAACCCCAAAGGCATTCTCCTTTCTTCTTTCTCTTTTTTTTTTGTTTTGTTTTTAATTGCTCAGCACCGCCGTTGTCTCCTCACTGTCCTCTGAGACCCACAAAGCATTTCCTGCTGGTGGTGCCTTCTCCGGGCCGTATCTGTTTTGGATTGAGCTAATTAAAATGTTTCCTTCAGAAGAGAATCGTGAACTGCCTTACCCCATATTCAGCCACGGATCCTCAGGGCATGACTCTCTTTTTGTTTGCACGGAGAATGTCTCTCTCCATTTACATCACCCTTTAACCCTTGGCGTGCTCTGCYTTTCCCCATCCCCAGCAGCCTCCRGAGGGGCTGGGCCGCGGCCAGGAAACGATGGAATTCACCCCCAATTCCCAGCCAAGTTTGCATTATTTAGCACTTGTTAAGCGGGGCTTTTTGCTCCGGAGTGCGGGAATGCGGCTGATTTGGAGCCCCAGGTCTCTCGCTGAGAGGGCATTGCTGGATAATGGCAGTGCTGGATTCAATGGGGAAGATTTGGATACAAGGAAAAGCTGATGAGCTGCTGAAAAGCGAAGTTGCCCTGTCTGATCGGGTTGTTTTCACCCAGGAACAGTGTTTGTGGTGGAGGTTGCTGTAGCCCTGGTGCTTTACAAAGTGTGGCTAAGGAAAAAAAAAAAAAAAAAAAAAGCATAAAAAATAAGAGACTCCTGTTTCCCTGAGCCACCAGGGACTCCAACAACAGGCCTGGGTTTATTTGCTCACAGTTCCAAAAGGTTCCCAGTCAGCAGCCTGCCCAACAAGCTGCCTTTCTTCGCTTTCCCTGACACAATTTCCAGTGGTTCCTTGGCCATTCCTTGACTTTTTGGCTCCTTGTTGCCTTTTCTCAGCTCCTCTGTGCCACACGGAGCCCTCCTGTCACCCCATCCTCATCCCACTGGGCTGCATCCTCTGCATTCCCTTTGCTGAAATGGGACAGATGAACGTTCACCTCTGATTATCCACAAATTCTGGACTTTTTTTCCCTTCTCTTGCAGCAAGAAGGTGCCAGGGCAGCAGCACAAACACCAATTTCACCTTGGCAAGGTGGCCTGACGGGAGGGGCTGTGTCTGGATTCCTTTGGGACCCTGAGGGAGCTGTGCCCTGCATTTATTTACTGCAGGGCGTTGTTACAATTGGGCTTTATTCTCTTAAATGGCTTTGTCCYGTGAGGAAAATGGGAAGTTTTGAGGATTGGAGAATCCCAGGATGGTTTGGGTTGGAAAGGAACTTAAAGCTCATCCTGTTCCATCCCTGCCAWGGGCAGACACCTTCCAGAGGCTGCTCCAAGCCTTGTCCAACCTGKTTTTTATTGTAAAGCGTTAAAATAATTCAGAAGTGGCTCCACAATGCAGAAATAGCCCATCTCAGCCAGCCAGTGATGCTTCTTAGAAATTTCTTAGAAATCCAATTTCTAATGACGAGATGAGGGCAAGGCAATGACATTCTGGCACCGTGCAAGGGCTGGATGCTGCTTTTCCTGCTTAATATGGTCAAATCATGTGTAAAACACATGCTGGGGAGGAAAAGGGTGAGTTGTGTGCAGGTTCAAGAAAGGAAAATGGGAATATTATCGGAGGAGAAGAAGAGTCTGCTGTGGTTGGGTATTTCCAGCGTCACAGGGTCTCACAGCACGATGAGCTCATGCTCTGCCCACAGAAAGGATCTGCTCTGCTGCCAGAACACACCTTTGTCTCAGAGCTCAGGGACTGATGAATGTCCCTCAATTCCGCTTGCCAAGATAAAGAGATTTTCCCCTTTTTCATCCCAAATAACCCAGCAAATTTCCCCGCAGCCGGGGGTCAGCTCAGGCGGGTCTGGCTCCAGAGCAGGGTGAATCTTTACCCCCTTTTACGGGGCTGAGCTGGGAGCTGGTGCAGGAGGAAGCCTCGCAGAGCCACTGTCTGCTCTGGGAATAAAGAGCTCCTCTTTTCAGGGAGAGAATTTCCCTTCTGTGGAAGGTGGTGGCTCCCCTTCCCCGGGACTAAATCGGATCCTTATTTAGGGAGGAGGAGCGAGGCGAGGAGGAGTGAAGCTCTGCACGCACGCTTGACCTGGAAAGACCTGCTGAGGGTGGCTGAGAGCTCCAGGAGCTCCATCCCCACCCAGCCCAGCCCGYGGGGACGGCTCCCTGACGGCTCCTTTGGGATCCCGGAGCACCCTCAGGCTGGGAACACCACCCCAGCCACACAGCCCCGGCCAGCAACGCTCAGACATCGGGAAATAGAGCCCCAAATCCCAAATGTGCTTCCAGCAGGGCGAGGGGCAGCTGGAACTGATGGATCACAGATGTGGCATCCATCCAGGCGGCTCCAAGTGCCACAAAGACAGAATCCCAAATTGCAAAGCAATCCCAAAATTGGACAGAATCCCAAATTGCGAAGAATCCCAAATTGCAAAGCCACACACCCTCCAACAGGGAACCCCAGCCCGGGGACCAACAGGTCCCCAGGATCTGGCCCAAGATTTGGATAAAATTGCCTTAATTCGTGCTCCTGGAGGGATCCACCTCCCAGCCGGCAGAGCATCCTCTCCCTGCCCAGGGAATGTTTCCACTGCTGCTCCTGAACAACCTCAGGTGCAGCTTTGCAGTTCTGTGTCTCATTGCAATGCTCTGAGTGGGGAATTGGGGCATTTGTTGTGTCTGTGCGGAGCCGAGCTCCTGACCCTGGAATTTGGAAGACATCGATTTTTATCAGTTGAGGAGGATTCTCATTTTTAGCCTCAAAGGATTCCAGGGAAATGTTTGTTCAGCCTCCCCTCCCACCCATGTGTTTCAGGGCTTTCTTTTAAAGTTCAGGGGTTTTGAACCCCGCAAGCTCYCAAGGTTTCCTGCCTGTTTTGTTTCTAGGGAATGCTCCTAAGGGAAGGAAGATGGAAAAGTACTACAAGGGGAGAATGTCCTTATCACCGAGCTGTGAACTTTGCACTTCCCATCCTCTGGATTTGACTGTTCTGTTCCTATAGGGCAGCAACACAAAAACCACACACAATTGTCTCCTCTCAAACAATGATTTGGGAATGTCATTAAAACCTCCAGACTTCTCCTGCAAATTCTTCTGCCATGTGCTTATATTGTGTTAAATCCTCTCTCTTCCAAACAGCCAAATCTTTAAATGATGTTGTTCATCCTTCATTTTACTTCTGACTCCCTTTTTTTTAGATCTGTCTTTGAATTTTTCTCATTGACTTTTGTAGCTTTAAAGGAGTAGATTTTAGCCATGAATGAAAACCAAAATGTTAAATCAAATTTTTAAGGTTTTTAGCGTAATATTTATAACTTAATTCCTAATTTTTAATAGAGTTTGAAGGAACCAGCCCTTCATTAAATTAAGGTGAAAGTCTAATTTATGCCACGTTTATATCCAGCCCCTTTTTAAGCTTGAAGTGTCTTTGTGACACTGACTTCAAGTACAAAAGGAAGCTGTAACCAAGGGATCTTTTTCACAAACACACAACAAACAACCGGGCAGGAAAGYCCTTAACTTGTCACCTGCAGTGCCACAATGAGAATTATGATGGGAATGGAGAATTCCGCCGGGAATCTGAACCATTTCCATGCAATCTGGAGGAGTAGCTCACACAAGGAATTACTTTCCCAAAACTTRGAGCTCATCTTCTTCCCTTTAAGCAGCTCCAGCCATGGAGCAGGAGGAATGGGAGCTTCCCAAAGGAAAAACACCGCGGATCTTCCGTGAAATCCGTCTGGATCCATCCCCCAGATCCATCCGAGCCTTCCGCTTCCAGAACCCCCACCCGGCCGCTTTTCCTGCCTGGGGAAGGGGGGACTCACCGGGACCGCCACCATTCCCACGGAGCTTCCACGGGATCCCTTCGTGACAGAT